GTCCCAGCTTCTGTCAAACTAGCAGTTCAAAAGCACGTAAAAAATGCAAGTAAAAAAATAGGGACCATCTTTGGTGGGAGGTAACAGCATTCCATGCGCCTTTGGTGTTTAGTCATGCTGCCACATGACCACAGAGACATCTTGGGACAGCGCTGGCTCTTTGGCTTTGAAATGGAGATAAGCACCGCCCCCTAAAGTCAGGAACAACTAGCACATATGTGCAAGGGGAACCTTTACCTTTACCTTAAAGAGACCTAAAACAAAATGGATCAACGACATCAGCAAGTATTGTGGGCCCAATTGGCAAAAGAAAGCTTAGGACCGTATTGGTTGGAAACATGTGGAAGAAGCCTTCATTCTGCAGTAGATAGACAATGACTAAAATGATAATGATGATGATGATGATGACATCAACTATCATGATCATCTTAAAGGAATAGAACAAACAAGTTGTAAAAAATGAAGGAGAGAATGCAATCCATTCTGTGGGTTGAATGCATTTTTTCTCTTTCTTCCCATATTCTTATACCCTTAATATTTAAGTGCTGTCTCTAAACATTATTAGGAGCAAATGCCTACATTCATTGTGCTCCTGCCTAAAAGGATTGCAGTGAAATACACCTGAAGCTAAAATGCTGAAGTGCCTGACTTAACGGACCTGGGGAACATCAAGCTATAGACAAAACCTTTCCCAGCTTCAGTGAGACAGCTGACTAGCTCAGGCAGAATTACAGAATAATGAGATCAAATGTCATGGTTACAATTACAGCTTATCTTGACATCCTTTGGGAACTGAACAGCTTTGAATTTGAGCGATCTATATATTAATATTGCAGCCTACTCTGACTTTACTTCGAATGTTCCGGGGCATCAAATAAAAAGAATTCTGTAAATAATGAAATTATGCAAATACAAGATGGCTTGATTCTTTATGGTTTGGTCTGGCAGGAGCAGAATGTAGATTTAAGACTCTTCGTTTCATCCCTTATAATATGTTCTTCTAATTCTTGAGTTAGCAAAAAAAAAAAAAAAATGTGTTGGTATAAATTCTGCCTCTACAGCTGAGCCTTTTTCTAACTAATGAAGTTGTCAACTGTTTTGAGACAAGTTTTAATGCAGAATCATTTAAGGTCAACACCCACAAATGTCCAAGTGTTGCCCTTAACAAATGGTGGGCATACTTAGCTGCTGAATTTTGAAAAGCGTAATCCTATATATATATATAAAGCAAATCAGAACTAATCAAAATGATTTAAAATGATTTCAGAGCGTACATTGAATCTGGACTGTTTCGGAATCAAACCCAATGGGCTGAGCTGGCATCAGGCTCAGGAAAGGGGAAATAATAAGTGTGTGTTTGTTTTTAATCTATGGAGCAGCCTGATGAAAGATCTGGTGATCTGTCAGGTGAAAAATCAATTTCAGTAAAAAAAAAAAACCTCTTAGATGGCAGGAGTTCCTTTAAGGTCAGATTAAATGATCACATTCAAGCAAAACATCATTTGTTGATAACACTAGCCACACAAAGCCAACCCAACATGTAAGCCAATGTATTCCTTAGCAAAATTATTACTAGTAGGTAATACATATATATTTAAAAAAGGAAGGAGCTGAAATCAAAAATCCCATAGAACAGGGGTGTCAAACTGAAGACCTACAGGCTGCATTCAGCCCGTGAGATGCTTAGATCTAGGCCGCAGGGCCTCCCTGTAAACAATGAAGGACTGGTCCGCAGTGCCTCTGCCAGTGAAAATGGGCTCTCGAGTTCCATTTTCAGCTGCGACGGCCTCCTGCAATCCTCTGCCAGTGAAAATGGAGCTCAGGAGGGCCCTCCCGAGCTCCGTTTTCACTGGCAGAGGGTTGCAGGAGGCCGTCGCAGATGAAAACGGAGCTCACGAGCCCGTTTTTGCTGGCAGAGCGCTCGGGCCATCACAGGCACCAACATGAGTGATGTTAAGCTGGCCATCCCCACCCTGGCCACGCTCTCTGCTCCCCGAGATCAAATACAACCCTGATGTGACCCTCAATGAAATCGAGTTTGACACCCCTGCCATAGAACATACCGTACATAGTGCAAACTTCATAAAAGTTTCAAAGAACTTTTGATCCCAAAGAATTAGTACTATTTCAATGGCAGAAAGAGAGTTTAAAATTTCCCATTTTAAGGCTGAGGATGCTTTGTAAGATGGACAGCAGCTCTGCCATTTATATATATATAAAAAGCCAGATATCCTATCGACACCTCCGAGAACTTGCAATGGCACCTTTAGATCCTGCCAATTGCATTCATGCTTTTTATATCTCATCCTGCATCAAAATCTCAAGAAAGATTGAAATATCAGTAGGGAAGCAAATCAGCAAATGTCCCAGAAAACCAGTAAACAAATGTAAAAGCAGTAAACAAACTGTCTCAGTAAACAAAATGGAAACAAATGTGACCGCAAAATTAAAGTGAAAAATCCTCAGCAAGCAACACAGATATTAAAAATTATTTTGGTCCAAATGCATAAGGTACACTCCATTTGTCAATCCATAGAAGAGGCATCTATCATAAAACCAAAACTTTCCAGAGTTAGTTGAATATGAATCGGGGTAAAATGCTACCGGTTTGCTCCAGTTCAGGCAAACCGGTAGTGATAAAAACTACCAGTTTGGGTGAATTGGTAGTAAGAAAATGCTTTAAATTTTTTTTAAAAAAAGGTGCTGACGATCGTGCGGCACAGCTGTGATCGTCGGAATGTTTTTGTTTTACTTTTTTAAAGCAATTTTTTTACTATCTATTCGCCCGAACTGGTAGCAAAAAATGCTTTAAAAAAGTTAAAAATAATAGTTGGCCACGTCCACCCAGTCACATGACACCACCCCCACAAAGCTACGCCCACCAAGTCATGCCCACAGAACCGGTAGCAACAAATTTTACATTTCACGACTGCTATGAATCTTCATAAGGGTCAGAAACCACACTGTGTACATGGACACATCACCACTCGTAATAGTAGCAATATAGTCTATCACCAAATATTTCCAAATAAATTGCGTATTAATGCATTAAGAGAATAGATTATCTAAAATGTATCACATTAAGCACAGAAAATAGAGATTAGGATTAGAATTGTAAATAGATTAATCTAAATAGATCCATTCTAAATAGATTAGAGTTAATTCATTCTAAGTAGATTGGAATTCTATTTAATTCTATTAAGTAGAATTATTAAATAATTGGGCACCTGCACAATCTTGAGGAAAAGGCATAGCTCCTTTATGAAGTTTCTTATCCAAAACATCTTTTTATCTTTGAATCCAAGGCAATGCGCATCCCACTTAATAATTCTATTTAATTTTTAAATAGCAATAGCACTTAGACTTATATACCGCTTCACAGTGCTTTTACAGCCCCCTCCAAGTGGTTTACAGAGTCAGCCTATTGCCCCCAACAATCTGGGTCCTCATTTTACCCACCTCGGAAGGATGGAAGGCTGAGTCAACCTTGAGCCTGGTGAGATTTGAACTGCCAAATTGCAGGCATATAGAAATAGAATTATTAAATAGTGCCCAATCCTGGGAAAATATGTATTTGTTTTCAGATGCCATACATAGGTGCTAAACATATATTCCGATGTGCTTCACAACACATTTTCTGTCTGAAACATTGAACAGGTCTATTAGTCAATTTCTTTGGCTTATGGCAGCTACATAAATATTTTTTCTTATAATATATAAACTTAAATATTGGAAACCCTGAAGGGTCTATTATTTTGACTGGTGTTCTTTTACCCTGAAATGCTGCAAACTACCATAACAGATTTTGCTTCAGTGCAGATGGGAATGCAGAATGGATCCCTCTGCTAATCTCTGTGGTTCTCTGCGAGAAAAGTTCATTAAAAAGGTATCTCCAAACATAAAAGAAATGGCATCATATTATATTAATACTAGGCCATGCTTGAGCAAACTGAAAATAGGAACATTGCATCAATAGCTGCATATGTTAAGGAAATATAAAAGTGATCTCAAGTGAAAGTTGACTTTTGGGGACTTCAAAGTCATGTTTATGCCATTTTCTGGGTAGAAAGGGAGAAGCAGATGTATGTAAAAATTATGAACCTTGTGGATTTTTTAAAAGGCAAAATGTGCACAAAATCTGGCTGAGAACAGCTTTAGGATTTTGAAATGGGATGTTGTACTTTCAATGTAAATATTGAGAGATTGGGTGCTGAGAAATGAGAAGAAACATAAAAGTATAAGACTGTGAGTGCCGAAAAGGGAGCGTGTGTGCATGCGCACTCATCTGGGTCCCAACCCGGAAGAGGAGCTGCCCAGGGTGCATGCGTGCACCTGAAAATGAACTTTGGGTTTCCGGCGTGTGCATGTGCGCCAGCCAGCTAGTCTTTTGGATTTCTGGTGCAAATGTGCGGAACGACGCTCAGCTGGCTGGTGCGCATGTTCACACAGGATAATGGAAGACCAGCTTTTCCAGTTTCCGACACTGCAGCACGCAAAAAGGTCAGCTGATCATCACACGCGCATGAGTGCCAGAAACCCAGAAGAGGAACAGGCAATGCTGCGCATGCCAGGTGACATGGCTCCACGTGCCACTTCAGGCATGTGTGCCATAGGTTCATCATCACGGATATATGAGAACCTGATCACCGCCATGTGGACTATACCCTTGAATTAGACTTCTTATTTCAGAAATAGGATAGGCTGGTTTGCCCTCACTTTTATTGGCTGTTTGATAGCTTCCCCTCACTAGGCCACCAATCAGAATGAAATATTATCTTGACAGACAAGTTGTGGTTTATTCTACTTAGCGCCTGCACCATTCCACCCTAGCGCTGGAGAAGAATGGCAAAGTTGGATTGAGGCCTTCTAGAGCTCATTTCAAATTCTGTACTCCGCTCATATATTAGCTGAATCTCTATTTATCTCAACACAGCTTGTTCAGGGTTTCTATTATCTCTTAGCCATGTGCTTAAAACAGCAGTTTAAGAGTGTTGCCTTACCTGACAGGTAGGTAGTGAGTGAAAGAAGCACCATGAATTTCCATGATGATGGCATGGCGTGGCTTCGAAGATCCTCAATCCCCGTTTGGGTAGTGGTTAACAGCCGTAGGGTTCCTTCATTAAAAACCCAACCTGTTGAAATAATGCACAAATGATAAATCTTCTCTTTCTCTTTCTCTCTCCCTCCAAGTTCCTCTCTGCTCTCTCTCTCTCTCTCTCTCTAATTCTCACTCGCACTGCCCCTCCAAGTTTCTCTTTGCCCCATCTTAGAAACAACATGAAGATGGAGTTATCCTGAGTTTCTTCCTCATTCTCCCTTCTGTCAGTGGACCCCTTAATGTCCTGTCCAAGTCCCTTCTTAATAACTCATTCCTTTCTAGCCCTCTTAATGATTCATATTTTCCCAGAGGATAGCTGCAAATTCATATAGATTTATCACATTCCTGCACCAACCTACAGCCCCACCTATGTATGTATGTATGTACGTATGTATGTATGTATGTATGTATGTATGTATTTATTTATTTATTTATTTATTTTGTCAAACATGTATGAGATAACAGGAATAAGTATAAACCTGGATATTAATACAGGAAATGGAAACAAATAAATGGGGACAGTAGGATAGGGTTGGAAGGCACACTGGTGCGCTTATGCACGCCCACTTATAGACTTCTTAGGAATGGGGTGAGAGGTCAGTGGTGGGTTGCCCCTGGTTCGGTCCGGTTCTATAGAACCGGTAATAAAACCAGCGGGAGGCTCTGCCCAGCCGCCACAACGTCATCATGGGTGATCTGTGCATGCGCAGAAGCGCGCACGCTCCTGTTGCGAACCGGTAGTAAAGGTAAGTAGAACCCACCCCTGGGTGAGGTCAACAGTAGACAGTTTAAGGTTAAAGTTATGGGGGGTTGAGGATGTAACAACAGAGTCAGGTAGTGCATTCCATGCATTGACCACTCTGTTGCTGAAATCGTATTTTCTGCAATCGAGTTTAGAGTGGTTTACCTTGAGTTTGTATCTATTGTATGCTCATGTATTATTGCGGTTGAAGCAATAATAATAATAATAATACACCTTTGATAAGGCTTACTAAATTGGCTAAGATCCAGGAAGAGCTAGCAACCCTCTGAACTGAAGCAGTGCAGTCATTCAGTTGATTATAGAAATAAAGCAGTATGCCTTCTACAGAGCTACATCAAAAGCCGTGGTGGCACAGCGGTTAGAATGCAGTATTGCAGGCTAACTCTGCCCACTGCCATGAGTTTGATCCTGACTGGCTCAAGGTTGACTCGGTCTTCCGAGGTCCTGTAAAATGAGGACCCAGATTTTTGGGGCCAATATGCTGAAAATTGCTTAGAGAGGGCTGTAAAAGCACCATGAAGAGGTTTATAAATCTAAGTGCTATTGCTATTTGCTACTTGAACGTAAGTGCTGCCCTGTTAAGGAACTGCCCAGCCCTATTACAAGAACAAAGTATACTTTGCTGTCTGTGTAAACCTATTCTGAATGGTATGAAAATAATTCCAAATAATCCCCTCAGACAGAAATTCAGACAAGTATATTGCCTTTGGTCAAACTCTGCAAATTCACTTTGAGTGTAGCTTGATATCAAATTCAGTGGGGGTTTTATCCCCCCCCCAAACATAGCTGTCTATCAAACTCTCAGCTGAGGTCCACCCATCATGTAGTTTCTGATACTGACAAGAGGAGGACAGCCTTAACTGGAACTAGGTACAGAGTATTTATGGGGAATGTCAGCTACTGTGAAGCAGAAATCTGGAATGCAAGTAACTTCACACACATTCTCCTTGTAGCTCATCTGTCTCTTTAGAGAGTTACCTTCTCAGTGAAATATGCCTGTCAGCCGCCTTTTGTTTCTCCAGTTCTGTGATAATCAGTGCTTTAAGTCTGTTTCTAGCACTGGTGAGTTATGTCTTACATGAATATGGTGATGACCAAGCTGTTGGAAAGCGTACGCTCTAAGAATATTTAACTTGGTGTGGTTATTTCCTTCCCCCATTTCATTGATTCAGCAAGAGGATAATAGCAAAGAATTACATCTTAAGAATCTGGAAGCTGCTTATTAGTATTCTGAGGTTAACCTCAAGAAGAAGAAGAGAAATGTTGTTTTCAGACTATATAGAGCCCTGGTGGCGCAGCAGACTAAAGCACTGTTATTAACATCAACTGCCTGCAATTACTGCAAGTTCAAATCTCACCAGGCTCAAGGTTGACTCAGCCTTTCATCCTTTCTAAGGTAGGTAAAATGAGGACCCGGATTGTGGGGGCAATAAGCTGACTTTGTATAAAATATACAAAAGTATGAAGGCTATTGCTTAACGCATTCTAAGCCGCCCTGAGTCTCCGGAGAAGGGCGGCATATAAATCAAATCAAATATATCCCCTATTTGAAAAAAGATTCAAAGTCCAATTTAAGTTCTAGGCTGGGAAAACAAAGCCCCCGAAGACAACCAAAAACATTCAGTATCTGAACAGCAGACGGAGTAGGACGTTAGCAAATAGGGTGAGATATTTTTTTTTTAAAAAAAGGTTATGGTGAAATATATTGCTGTATTGTTTGTTTGTTTTGACATATACAGTAAAAAAATAATCTAAGTTGTATAAATGAACATCCAAAGAAATAAATAAATGTAAGGGAACAGATTTCCATTAAACTTTGTATTTCTGCATCTATATGTAAGGCTAGATGGCTCAGTGCCTAAGATGCTGAGCTTGTCGATTAGAAACGTCAGCTGTTCGGCGGTTCGAATCCCTAGTATAGGTCTCCTGCGTGAGCAGGGGGTTGGACTAGATGTCCTCCAAGGTCCCTTCCAACTCTTGTTACTGTTACTAAGATAATCTTTGACTTACAACCATTCATTTAGTGCGATGGCATTGAAAAAATAGCCTTACGATCATTTTTCACACTTATGATCGTTGCAGCATCTCCATGGTCACAGGATCAAAATTCAGGCACTTAGTAACTGATTCGTATTTATGACGGTTGCAGTGTCCAAGGCTCATGTGATCACCTTTTATGATCTTCTGACAAGCAAAGTTAATTGGGAAGCCAGATTCACTTAATGTCCATATTATTAACTTAACCAGTGCAATGATTCACTCAACATCTGTGATGAGAGAGGTCATAAAATGGGACAAAACTCACTTAACAACTGTCTTCCTTAGCAACAGAAAGTTTGGGCTCGGCTGTGGTCATAAGTTGAGGACTGTCTGTAAATAAGTGTGTCTTTTGTGTGTGTGCCTTTGAGAGAGTGTTGATTCCTGGCAAAGGCCTGGAAAAGCTTCTACGGTTTCCAAAAGTGGTTTGCCATTGCCTGCTTTGTTCTAGGGCGAAGAGAGAGTGTCTGGCTGAAGGTCAATTAACTGGCTTTGAGCCTAAATCAGGATTCATGACCTCCAGGTTTCCAGCCTAATGCCTTAACCACCACACCAAATTGGGCAAATTTCTGTCATTTTCCTTTCCCACTTACAGTATCTCCAACATTGGATTTATTGACTGCTCTCTTTGCTATAAAATGTTTTAGAATGGAACGATCTTATAAAGTGTCAAATTAATATAAAGAGCCATGTTTAATTACTGAACTTATTCATAAGCAACTGACACGGATTCCATCGCTATATAGTAACAGAAAAAATATATACAACTTCATCCCTGTTCCTCTGCACAAAAGCAATACACAACAACAATAGAATTCTTTATTGGCCAAGTGTGATTGGACACACAAGGAATTTGTCTTGGTGCAATTTCTTCATATAAAGCTGCATCTATTCCCCTAACACAAAAATCTCTCCTTTTTTTCTGCCCCACCATAATCACTATTATCACTGCAAATTATGACACATTCTGCTTTAAAATTTCACAACTATATGGAAAAAAGACAGATTTAATAATAGCAGAAGCCCTGTACTTTATACTTTCATAAAAATTTATATCTACAATGAAATTGCCCTTCTGTTCTGGTTAAAAGCAACTCAAAATATACAGGTAAAACCACAATTGAGTCAAAAATTTCTGTTGCTAATTGAGACATGTGTTAAGTGAATTTTGCCCAGTGGTGAAATTCAATTTTTTTTACTACTGGTTGTGTGGGCATGGCTTGGTGGGCGTGGCAGGGGAAGGATACTGCAAAATCTCCATTTCCACCCCACTCCAGGGGAAGGATACTGCAAAATCCCCATTCCCACCCCACTCTGGGACCAGCCAGAGGTGATAATTGCCAATTCTCCAAACTACTCAAAATTTCCACTACCGGTTCTCCAGAATCTGTCAGAACCTGCTGGATTTCACCTCTGGTTTTGCCCCATTTTGACGACCTGTCTTGCTACAGTTGCTACATAAATCACTGCAGTTGTTAAGTTGGTAACACTGTTCTTAAGTGAATCTGGCTTCCCCATTGACTTTGCTTGTCAGAAGGTCCCAAAATATGATCACATGACTGGTGTCAGGCCTGGAAGCCATCTTTTACACGGGATCTTCAGGCCTGCCACATTTAGTGCTGTGGGAAACTGGGAGGGGGGATTGTACAGAGCTGGGGAGATATATAGTCATAATAACATTCCTTTCTCTGGGAGTCAAGGTCATCCTGCTCTGCACCTGGAGGAGTGTGACTGGGAGGCATCTCCAGTTGGGATGGTGCTTGGATTGGATCATGTGATGGACATGTGAGTGTTGGGCAGGGACTTGGACTTTCTGTTGGGTGGGAAAAACCTGGAAGCTTTCAGATTTGGGTTTTCCCAGATGTGCCAATATGACATCTCTAATAAAATGGAACTTTGAGGAACTTTGAGCCTTGGAGTCTTCTTTCGTTGGGGGTGTTACTTGGAACCCTGACACCTAGGATACTGCAACCATCATAAATATGAATCAATTGCCAAATGTCTGAATTTGGATCATGCAACCACGGGGATGCTGCAATGGTTGTAAGTGTGAAGAACAGTCATAAGTCACTTTTTTTCAGGGCCGTTGTAACTTTGAATGGTCACTAAACGAACTGTTGTAAGTCAAGGACTACCTGTAACAATTTACATGTTCCAGATGAGAGAAGTAGAAAGCTCTATTTTTCTTTTGTTTTCACTTTTTGTTTTTCTTCCAAATCTTACTCCTGACTAGC